TGAAACTGAAAATTACTTTTTTTCCCCAACTTTTTTAACACTTAAAAAAATATTATAATATTAATTAATATAATTTTTTAACTTTACTGTTAGTGGCTTTGGGGAAATATCAGGTTCTAAACAGACCCCTGATATTTCCCCATTTGAAATAGAAAATGAGATTAAGGACACAGAACCCTAAATCTATTTTAATAAAGTTCGGCCTCTTGTCACAGCTGACAGCTTCCAGAGCCGTAATTCTTATTTGTCCTTCACTATTTGGATAATTACTATGAACAAGTTATGTGCATGACTTAGTGCTGCAGAAGGTCTGTCATTTTACTAGGCAATGTAGGGCAGCAGGTGTGGGGGGTTAGTCCAAGTGGGATAGTTGCTTTTGGCAATGGCCAGGGCAACAAAGCATAACACCATGTGGACACTGATAGCTTGTGAACTGGCATGGTATGATTATGATTATTAGCCCAAAAAAACCTCCTTCATGCATCTCACTTTAATTCTGGAGATGACTAAAAATGAAAAATAACTGTTCTTCCATTGACCTTTAAGATGAGCAAATTAATGCACAATTTTTAGCATTTTGGACAAATCTTTGTAGACAAACCATGATTCTTTATTTCTATTGATTTCAAATGGGCCATGCTGCCCCATAAGGGAAGACAATAAAGCCCAATAAACACAAGGGAAAACAGAAGCACCACTTTGGCAATCTTTGGCTAGCCCCATGCTGGTAGATAGGGTGTAAAATGCTACTGTGGATAAAGCATATTACTTTGAGTGCAGACTGCTAATTCTCAAAGCCTTATTCCAGCCAACACATTTTCTTTTTAAATTTGAATAAACTTGGAAAACACAAAGGCTTATTTCAATTTGTATTGCTGTTCATTAGGACTCCTGTTGGCAGATTTAACCTCACTTTGCCCCTCAGACAGCTAGACGCAGAAGGACAAAAATTTAAGAGGAATGGTTGTCACCAGAACAGGAAGCCACAGACAGTAACAATAATCTGAGAGAGGTTCCAACACTTTTAAAACACCCATTTTATTGAATAAATTGTGTTTTGTTGGAAATCTCCTCAGAGGTGACACAGACCACAAAACTTGACAGGGGTTCTATGCCTTACCCACTAGTAGGAAACATTTGGCTGAACTAGGCTATTAAAAAAAATGTAAATTCTGCAAACTGATCACTGCAAATAAAGACTCTTTAATACTTACCTCTCCTAACTTTACTCTCCTGTAGAGCTATAACCACTGGCAGAATCTTCAGCATCTGACAGTTTGTTGGATACCTGCGTCCCTATCTGGGTGCTGTGGTTCCATCTGCCGGCACCTATCACTATAGGACACTAGTGGAATTGGGGCTAGCAAGAGGAAACACATTGTACCTCTGGGGAACAGACACCAAACTCGCCTAAAGTGTGCCAAATGCAGAAGATTCCTAGGGAGCGGTAACTCAAAAGTGAAGCTCGAAGTCGCAGCTCCCCATAAGCTCACCTCTCTTCCAGCGATGCAATGTCCACGAGCTCCCTTGCCAGAATAGACATCTTCCACCACTTTTTCGGGGTTCAGCATCTTCGGCCATCATAACTGGCCTGCCTAGGATGATCTAACTCCTGTGAATGCGCATGGGAAATCAATTCATCCTGACACCCGGTAGATGCCGAAATTTTACACTAAGCTGCAAATGTGGAGCTAAGTTACAATCTAAAGATTCTTGTGAAGAGGACTACTCTATGTCCAGTAAAAAAAAAAAAAAAGCTGCCCTTGCAGCGTGACTGTCTCCATGTACTCGTTTTTGTCTAGGGGTACGGTGTAAAGCACTTTTACTTACCTGATGCCTGCTCCCCCAGCGGTCACATTGTCTCCTCTTCACTGCAGCCTGTCCCTCGCATATACCCTAGGACCCTGTATTTGTCATGATCATGTTAGCGGGCCTTTGATCGATGAATCGGGGGAACTTGGAAATAGACTGCGGGCACGGTTTTGGCTCTAGCAGGGATCAGGTAAGGAGAAATGCTTTACACCATATACCTAGACATTAACGAGCACTTAACCCTTGCCGTGTCGGGGTAGCACTACAGCAAGTGTATTTTTTTTTAAACTAGAGCTAGGCTTTAAGCAGATGCTGTGAGAATGGGGCAAAAATGAATATGGTTAGTGTCATTTCTCTTGTGGTTGAATGTTGTTCAATAGGTATATTTATTGGGCAGCACAGTGGCTAAAGGTGCCCACACACCTTACGACCATCGCAAGACTTTTGTCTTGCGATGGTCGTATGCTTATTGAAAGCTTGTACGATCTGCCCACCTGGGACGGGCAGATCGTACTTGCGATCATCGAAAGCCCGCCCCGCTGAGGGGCGGGCTTCCGATGACCGCAATGCAGAACGGGCAGTGTGCGCGTGCGCACACCGGCCCGTTCCACAGCTATCGAACGAGCAGGCTAGAAACCCGCCGACAATCGTACGATTCTCGGCGGGTTTTCGAGCATGCTGGTTCGACAAAAGACGTGCGACCGTACAGTAGAAACGGTCGCACGCCTTCCATGCACTGTACGATTCTTGTACGATCGCGGGATTTCCCGCGATTCTCGTACAGTGTATGGGCACCTTTAGTCGTTACCACTTCTGCCTTAAAAGCAATGGGGCTCCCTGGTTGGAATCCCAGTCAGGACATTATCTACAAGGAGTTTGCATGTTCTCCCTGTGCTTGCGTGGGTTTACTCCGGTTTTCTCCCACACTCCAAAGACATGCTGGAAGGTTAATTGGCCCTCGTATTTGGGTGCAATAGGGACCTTAGATTGTAAGATTGACCTTGAGGGCAGGTACTGATGTAAAGTGCTGTGTAAATTGTCAGCACTATATAAATACCTGTAATAATACAAAAAGCACAATGTGCATCAGGATAATAGCGCATAACGGTCACTAGATGGAGCTGTTCTTTACGGCTATACCTACTGAAGAACATTCAAGCAGAGGGGAAATTGCCCTAAGAACATTCGATTTAGGCCCATTCTGACAGAGCTATATAAATGGCACAGATCAAATGTACACACAGTTTCACCGTATAATTAAGGTATGGAAAACACACACACACACACACACACCACCATAGTTTCTTATCACAAGCGAGTCTCCTCCTATACTGTTATGGAATGCTGTAAACTAAGAATAGAGCATAATATACAGAGTCCCTCTTCTCATGAAGAATAATCCCCACTGCACAATTCCCTCTTCCCTATTATGAAACTTACCTGCGTGTTCCAGCACACTGAGACACACACACCAGGGAAACCCAGCACTTCCCAGTCTCACAGGAAATACATCAGCACTGTGGCAAAGCATCATGGGAACTGTAGTACTTCCCTGAACACACCATCGTTCTGAACAAATGCAGTCTCCTATAATGTTAAAGCACTCTGCAGACTTTATGGTAAGATTAGCGGACTGTCTGGCGAAATCTGTGCATTGAAAAGGGCGGCTACAGCTGTGTACAGGACTGTTAAGCCGTTCTGCGAGTTCCCAGACACTGTTACCGTGGAAACCGCGTCCTAAACTACCAGGAATCGAGTTAACTTTTCAAATGCGTTAGAAAAAGTGTACTTAATCAGGGGCGTGCTATACAGGTAAGCGGCCATTTTGCCGAAGGCTATTATAATGTAAAGGTATACCAGGGACGATAACAACATGGCCGCCATGCTGGAGACACAAACTCCTCGAGAAGTTTAGAAAGTTTTCTGTGCTCCTTTACCTACCAGCAGACACTGAAGACAGAGAGGTGTATTATTTATTGGTATGTATTATTTATTGGTATGTATTATCTATTAGTATGTATTATTATTTGTTTTTATACTGTTGTATGTTCATGTAAATCTGCAGTATGTTACATGTCCTAAACAGCCGCTGTTTTGCCTAGTTGCTATGTACATGGCATATTGTTGTATTATGTAAAAGCAGTGAAATATTTGTGCAGCTCTTTTCACTTTTATGGTGAATCTTAGTTAGTCAAGTGCTTAAGAGCATTTTAAACAGTTGTCTATATAATATATAATATAATAACACAATATATGTTATTGTTCTCCTTGCCTTCTTAAACAAAAAACTTCAATATCTTCTATATCTATGGTAAGCCTAGAAAGTCCAGGAGATTTGCCAAAAAAAACCCAAAATACCGATCCGTGAAACCAAGAGCCCCCAGTGAACTCTTTTTGGAAGCAAAACTCTATTTTTCATTGTTGGACAAAGTAGAGAATTGGTTGAAACTTCTTTTTTATTTTTTCATCTATGTCCCATTGGGAATATTTGCCTTTATTTCTTGTATTGCAGACTGAAAAAGTTGACAACTTTTTCAATAATCGATTATAATCGATTATGTCGATTAGTTGTTGCAGCCCTACACAGCAGGAAGTAAACATGTCCTAAGTGAGGGTAGGGACCACACTATAGGGACCACCAGTTCTGGTGACAGCTCAAACTTTTGTTTCTGCTCTCTCCAAAACTGGCTGTCATGGCTCTTTCACCAGCCTCCCTCCACCTATATTGCAGGGATGGAATATCCCTCGGTGTTCTCACGTCCTATATACAGTGTAATGGATGTCATCACTCGAGGATACTTAGAGCGCTGCAGCAGTGGGAGAGCGAGGCTGGAAGGACCAGTCAAGTCAAGTCGACTTGGAGGATCAGGTGAGTATATTTTTTTTATTTTAGTCCCTAGACAAAAACGAGCAGTTAACCTTTGCAGTGTGGGGGAAGCCACACTGCAAGAGTTAATAAAATATTTGGGCGGAGTTCTGCTTTAGCTTCAATTATCACTACATATTTCTTTTGCTCTTACATATTTTGTTTTTTTCTTTTTTTTTATTTAAATTATTTTTTTTATTTTCATTTAGTAATCAAAATTCACCCAGATTGTATTTTTAGGTTGTATATACAGTGACGTAAAAATGAACAACTGTGACCTAGAGAAGCTCTGTGTTCCTGGGGTAAAGTTGGAGCCATCTTTTAAACCCGACATTACAAAGTACAAAGCGACGGTGCCAAGTGGACAGACACAAATCACAGTGGATGCGTATCCCAGTGATAACGGAGCCTCCTGCACAGTGCTGGTGAGTCCAATGTAAAACTTTATTATTCACTTCCTGTAAATGATATCTGCAAGACTGCAGACACTTTATTTTATACAGTCTAAACATTATAACTGGTAAAGTGAAAAGGGGCGGCCAAAAATAATATTAGAAATAATATTGCTAATCAAGTCTGCCAAGAGTTCCTTTTTTTCTGATGGGCTACATGCAAACTCAAATCCCATATAAGTTTTAATGTAATAATGGCATTTCAAAAGACATTTTCAAAATGTTTAAATCTGCAGTTTTCAGTAAAATAATGTCTGATAATCCTGCCATGAAGGTCCTTGTTCAGGCATTTCCTGTTATAGGGTGACAACGTTCTGTCCCTGTCTCCCTGTTGTGCTCCTCGTTGTCACCTTATATAACACAGGCTTCCGATTTAGACTAAATGGCCTTTCCAATACACATTACAGAGTCATGGTCAACTGTTGTCACCTTAGAAATGTGATGCAGCAATCTCTGTAGTGTATGAATGTTGATAGGAAGTGGCTGTAAAGAGGCTGCATGAGATTAACAGCAATGAGATGAAGCAAAGGATGAAATAAGGTTGCTGGTAATCCAGCCTTTTACATTTTAATGCAGCACAGCTCAAATAAGATTTACTACAAGTATTGCCATTAGTTCAGTGCAATGCTTGTTTGGCAGTTATTTTCCATGGTACTCTTTGGAAGCTGGGTTGCTGTCCCGTCTGTGCAGGACAGCAACAGTCTATGTGGTGACGTTGCTTGTCTGGATTCCTTGGTTGTGCTTTCAGTCTGAGATCAGGAGGCTCCCTGAGCCAAACTGTTCGGTTGAGCTACCTTGCATAAAGCCACCTCTTCCTCGAAGACTGCAGAAGTGCAGCGTGAACATCTCTTAGGTGTGGAAGAGTGAAGACTGTGAACTATAAAGCTGATTGGCTGCTAGCTCCATTCAGCTGAGAATTTTCTAACCAGCTCCTTCCATCAGCTGATCGAGTGATGCCGGGCAAAAGGGTGCTGACAGCGGCACCCACTGTTTGAATTTCAGCCGGTTCATCAGGAACCGGCTGAAATTGTCCCATGTATCGCCTACTGCAGCTGTCCCACGCCTGCTGTATACTAAGAGCTGTGCAAACATATAATTGCTGATCGGTCAGCTCTTGTCTCTTCTCACCCCAGAGAGCAGCTCCCAGCAGGGATCCCCTCTCTGTTTTTCCAGCATTCACTGAAGCTACAGGCAGAGGAGGGCATGGCTGGCTCTGGCTCTAGAGCAGCGAAGCCAGGTGTCACTTAGGCAACTGTGGTGGATCCCAAAATATTGTAGGGAACCTTCCCGGTGGCGGCGCAGCTCTCTGCTGACAGTAGATAGCGGGCATTAGTCAGTCAGTTCTCATTAAAGGAAAGTGGAAGGGTGGGTACATGGTTTAGAGAAAATTCAGTGGTGATCTTCTTTGCAGTTCATTGAAAATATATTCTCAGCTACCTGAGATAAGTTTTACACGGGCTGCAACTGGGCTTATATAGTAGAGAGAACAATACAAAAATAAGAAAAACTGTATTGTACTGAAACTGCATTTATCATTCAACAAACATATTTGAAGATGGTGTGGAACTTTAAAAACTTATTGTACTTTATTCATTTCAGGGAGGGGAAGGTTTGAAGTTTGTGACGTTGAAAGATGGCCTCATTTCTGTGGTTGTAGAGGTGACTGCTGAAGATGGGACTGTCAAGAAATACATTCTAGAAATCACAAAATTATCTGCAAGTCAAGCTTTACTGGGAGGAATACATCTATCTGAAGATCTAAAGCTGGTGCCACCATTTGCTCCCAATATCTTTGAATATTCATGTATGTCCCATTATCAACGTAATATATAACGTAATATATAACCTGTAAAGTGCACCTAGAGCTCTTAAAGTGAACCTGTGGTTCCCCAACACACATCTAAACTGACACCAAAGAGCATGTGCCTGCATGCCGTATGTTTTGTAGTGTAGAGTACCTTGGAACACCTTAAAACCTTGGAAGTCTTACTAATGAAGTCTTCAAGTGATGTATGAGGTACAAGTAGCTTAGTCACCTGGTGACCAACCAGAACGAATGCATCCATCTTGTGACGTGGCCTTATAATTATAATGTGTTAGTTACTCTTTAAATTGATTAGTGGAGCTCTACACAGTTGTGCCTGTGAATAAAATATTGCCATTATATTCATATATACATAACAAACCATATGTAACAAGATGTCTATCTATTTCACTTTTTTATCATTCAGATTTTATTGATGCTCTTTTTTCATATCATTATACAATACCATAGAAACAAAGACGAAGAAAAACTCACTAACACACAAAAAAAGAAAAAGCAGGAGAACATTTTCCAGAGTCGTCACACAGGGCTAATATTAACTCTATAACTCATAACCGCTAATAAACTAGCCACATTACTCCAATAAATAACCATAATAATAATTCCCTTAGCACAATATTAAATAGCTACGTAGAATGATATTAATTAACCACAGAAGAAAAATGCGTAACCTCTAACCATCAGGACTATGTCAAATCAAATTTGTGCATATTCTGGCGCAATCTAAATGAGTATTTTACAAACAGAATATATTTATTAATTTCCGCAATCCACTCGTCTTTTGTTAGGGAATATGGAGAAACCCACTTCACTGCTATTAACCTCCTCCCAAGGAACAGTGCTTTAGACAGGGCAGCTAATGTTTAGCTATCCACTTCGGGTAACCCAATACATCCCAATAGACATGGCAAAAGAATATACTTCAAACTGAACACCAAATATCCTATTCAATAGCCATGCCACTTCGTGCCAGTATTGTCCTAATTTTGGGCGTCCCTACAATAAATGAATAAGTGAACCATTACCATGAGTACAGCGACCACAATTAGGATCGGATCTAGTTCTGGCGTACGTTATACCCTATGCAATATAAAAAGTTGCATAAGTCTATGAGATGGGGAAAGAGATACCGAAGCAGACAACTTTAGTACCCATCTCTCTCACTTGCTCTACTATTCTTCCAGATACTCTGTTTGTTCCTTGACTTATCTTCTGGTATCCAATCCTGATCTGTTAATGTGGTTTCATCCCAGCTTGTACCTGGTTAATTCTTGGCTAGGATCTTGGTTACTAACACTTGTCTGTCACCTTCTTTAACCTT